CACTTCACTTGGGTGTATGTTTGACTGGAACTTTGCTGCAAAACATTGATCTTCCCAGCTTTTTATTCCAACTACTTTAAAAATCCATTTGCCTTCACTGGTATCATCATGACTGATGTTGAGCAGAGATGGCTCAGCAAACTGCTAGGGGTGCAGGAGAAAGTTGGCTTGGAATGAGACAAAATTGTGGATCATCTGGAGTATGGGTAATCCACATAAGGCCAATTCAAAGATTTTCATGGGTGTTATCTCACTTAACCTTCACTGATTACTAATCAAGTTACACACAGAGGGTAGTTCTTCCTCAGCTAATAGATGAAGCAAAAGGCTAGGGTTAGAACTGCTAAGCCATAGGAAATCAACTAGTCACAGAATAGGGCGAGGATGGTGATCCACACTTCCACTTCAGAACTGCAACATATCTCCCTGCAAAGAAAGACCTTTCCTGCCTCTTAGGGATTAAAGGTAGCTGGCCTGCCTTTCCTAATTCTTGGGTGGAACCTCAGTGAGGACAGAGTTCCTCCTAGGTTTTCTCAGTATGGCTAGAGTAGGGCAATTATTCCACAAGTTCAAGCTTCATGGTCAAGAGCTCTGTAAACTACCTACATACAATTAACCCCAGAGGAATATGGTGAAAATGTAACAATTCAAACATTCTTCACGTGGAGCCCATGTAACAATGTCAGGGAAGTCAAGAAACCGTTATGCACATTTTCTTTATGTGTATTTTACTAAGGAAGGCATTCATTAGTTTCTTCCAGGGCTTAGAACTAAAAAAGGTTAAGAACCTCGATCCTTTATGCCTGTACACGCATTCTTTCTAGTTCACTGTAGTGCCTTTAAAGAGGCACCTTCACAGGATGAAGTATTTCTATTCCTTCTAGTACCTGGTAACTATGGGTGGATATCTAAGAGAAATTCAAATGCCCACCCCATGTGAGTTAGAGCTTATTACAGCACAGGCCTCAATTCCTATAAATAGGTCTAAGGGAAGTGATTAGCATTCACCTCCTTGGAGGGGGAAGCTGCGTGTAAAGCCAAGGGCAGTCAGGAGCGCTTGAGTCCAGTCCCGAGCAGGCCACTAACCGGCTGTGTAACCTTGCACAAGTTGCAGACCCTCTCTGGGCTTCAGTTTCCACATCTGCAAACTGGAAGTTGAACCGCACGGTCTTCAAGGTGCTGTCCTGCAACGAGCTTTCTACCAGCTAGGCCTAGCCATTAAAGCAGCTTCCTGTGGGTGCGGTGCAGGGCTTCAACGGCCTCCCCCTCCCCCGTTCAAGCCCGCGAAACCCTCTTCAACACGCCCCTCCGAGGGACGGCGCTTCCCCAACCGCAACCTAAACACGGCTCCTCCCCTTCCCGGGGGCGTCCCATCGTGCCCCGCGCCGGGCCCCTAAAGCCGCGGGGCACCTCCCGCCTTTCCTCGGCCCCGACCCGAACTCCTCTCCCCAATTCTCCCGGGCGCCCTATCCTATCAACGTCTAGTATCCTAGCCAATCATGCGGGCCCGGTGTCTCGCTCACTCTCCTTCCAGCGCTCAGCCGGTCTGAGCCCAAGGCCTTTACCAAGCCAATCCAATCAGCTCCCAGCTCTCTCCGGTCTTCGGCCAATCCATGCGCCCCATTCCGCTGCCCGCCCAACCAACCCGGGACTTAAAACCAGCGGGCGAATGGACGCAGGGCGGCCCTTCAACGCAGACTGCCTGGCCAATTGGGGATTCCGCGTGGCCACGGCGGCAGCCAATCGACGTGGAGCGCGGTGCCGCCGCGGAGAGGTCCGGCCCGAATATCCCTCCGCCTTCCTCCCTCCCTCTCTCTCCTTCCCAGCGAGCCGCCGTTCACTTACTGCCTCCTTCCTTCTTTCTCCCTCCGCCACCCGAGCTCCAGCCGCGCTCTGAGCTGCCCCCGGGGTCCCTCCTCCGCCGCCAGAGGAGCAGCTGCCGCCGCCGCTGCCGCCGTCAGCAGCGAATTAGGAGGGAGGAAAGAACGAAAGGAGGAAGGAGGGGGAGCCAGAGCGACTAACAAGAGGGA